AGAAGTATATATATATATATATATATATATAGAGAGAGAGAGAGAGAGAGAGAGAGAGAGAGAGAGAGAGAGAGGAGGGAGCGAGGGAGGGAGAAGCATAAGAGCAGCAGCAATAATTAAAGATGAGTGGAGAACAGCGAAGAGAAAAGGCGGGTTGGGAGGCTCCTGGGGGAGCTGTATCTCAGGGAAAGGGGGGGAGGAATGAGTCCTCTCCTCAGGACTCTGCATCAAGCGCTGAGGTTTGATTAAAGAAACGACCTTGAACCACAGCAGAGAATAATAAAAGGCGATTTCCAGTAAGTGTGCTAGCTCGAATTAGTCATTTACTTTTTATTTTTAAACTGAATTCAGCAGAGATTTACATGCATTAGATTACAGTGATTAACATTTGAAATTTGACCTTGAAATAATCTTTACATTGTAAATTCTTAATGATCAAAACAATGTTCTCAGTGATTAAAACATATTAGTAATTAATTATTAAAGGAGAATAATTGCAAATACACATTCCTAAAATCTCAAGGCTTTTAAACCATTTGTACAAATGACTGGACATTTTTTTTAATTTGCCAAAAAAAAATAAAACAGCCCTCCATCTGATTTCTCATTTTCATTGTGAATCCAACAACAACAATTAAGGAACTTCTCAGTCTGCTTTTCTGTTGCCTCACAAACTAGAAAAGCATGCAACTACCTTTGACCTCATCAAAGCCAAAGAAAAGAAAATGCTGTAACGTCTTTAAAAATCCAAAACTCTCCCAAAGTAAGGGTGATAAAAGGTCAACAGATTTGATCACCACTGTTCCTTTAGAAAGCGCTGTGCCTGGCTGGCATGGCTCAGTGGTGGGGTGTTGACCTATGAACCCAGAGGTCACGGTTTGCTTCCCAGTCAGGGCACATGCCTGCAGGCTCCATCCCCAGTGTGGGGCGTGCAGGCGGCAGCTGATCCATGATTCTCTCACCATTGATGTTTCTCTCTCCCTCTCCCTCTCTTAATCACTCTGGAAACACAGAGTTGGGACAGGACCCAGTGCCACACCAACAGCTACGCTGGCGCCCAGAGAAGGGGGAGGCCAGGTGGCGGTGCCTGGCGAGCAGGATTCACCCAAACCATTTTTACTAAGTACCAAGGTTTCAGAAAACCATTGTCTCATGCTATAGAGAAAGGAAATTCGACCCGATGTGGCCCATGTATTTTAGGCCGTCTTTCCCACCCATAGCTCAGTCGGAGGCCCTGGCCTAGAGATTTCCTCTCCAAGGCAGAAACCCCAGAACAGGTACCAGCCAGGACGGACTGTGGCTTCCGCTGGCCAAGGTTGTCCCAGGGCCAGGACAAGGTGCACGGGCCACCCAAGGGCGGACCACACCTGGCCAGTTCTCGGGAAAGATACAAGAGCACCCTCTCCTCTCTCCCCCGTCCAGCCCCTCAGCCATGGGGTCCCTGCAGGAGTGACGATGTTTAATGAATAAAAACAGAAAAAGCCATTTCCGGGGGCATTTAATCTATGCAATTTCCTGAGCTAGCAAGCATTCCTTTTCACAATTTACTGTATGTTGATCATTAACATGCTTTTTTGCTAATATAAAGGAGTGGTCTTTGAAATGTTACCTCCATTAATTTTCTGTTGCTGCATAAATTACCACACACTCAGTGGCTTCTGGCCACACAAATGTACTGTTTCAGTTCCTATGGGCCAGGAGCCCTGCAGGTTTTCACTGAGTTCCTTGCTCGGGTTTCTGCTAGGAACTCAATGTTTGTGTCAGTCACCCCAAAATCCGTAAGGTAAACACCGAATCGTCAACGTGAAGGATCTGCTGGGAGGTGGGACCTTTGGGAGGCAATTAGGGTTAGAGGTCATGAGGGTGGGGCCCCCAGATGGGATGCGTACCTTGGAAAAAAAAGAAACCAGAGCTTCCTCTCTGTCCCCCACCACGTCAGGGCCCAGCAAGAAGGCGGCCACCGCACACCAGGAAGCGAGCCCTCACCGACAGAATCTGCCAGCTCACCGATCCTGACCTTCCGAGACCTTGGGCACCGAGACATAAAGCCTGCTGTGAGCCGCCCCATCCGTGGTTCTTTCTTACAGAAGACTGAGCCCAGACGGCCTGCAGGCTGACATCAACTTGTTAGCAAGGTGCCCCCTTATTTTACCCACTTTTCATGCAAGAAGCAAAAATGTGACCCCCTGAGGACTTGGCTGTGCGGGCAGCCTGAGGACCGAGAACTTGCACGTGAAGCGCCCTCTCTGCCCTGCTCCGCCGTCTCTTCCCAGAAAGCGTAGCTGTGCCTCCCACGCCCGCTGCCCTGCGCTGCTGGGGAAGCCCCGCGGGCTCCAGCCGGGAAGTCCTCTTGCCTGAGACCAGCACTCACACTCTCCAGCCAGCACCGGGTGGGCACAAATCGTTAATAAAAGTGGAACAGCGCTGATGCGAAGTTTAATTACTCTCCCGATAACTTAGTCCATCCAATGTCATCCCTGGAGCAGTGTCGTTTCTGATGCACTGCCTCGATTTAGAAAAAGGAGGGGAGGCCGTGGGCTAGAAGGAAGGAGAAGGTCCTACCACAGGCAACCAAAGGCCCTTGCTATGACTGTACTCCTGGGAGGTGTGGTTTTGCAGTTTCTGTTTCTTTTGAATTTCACTCGGGATACATTTTCTTTCTTTTTTTTTCTAATCCTCACCCAAGGAGTGAGCATAATTTTTCCATTGATTTTGAGAGAGTGAGAGGGAGGGAGAGGGGGCAGAGAGAGAGAAATATTGATGTGAGAGACACATGCCTGAGTGCCTCCCACATGCACCCCAACTGGGGGTGGGGGTGGAACCTGCATCCCCAACTGGGGGTGGGGGTACGAGCCCTCGACCAGGAATCTAACCTGCGACGCGCCGCTGTGCAGGCCGACACTAACCACTGCGCCACCGGCCAGGGCCGGGAGTACATTCTCAGTAAGACGGGCAGCGAGGAGAAGCGAAGGATGCGTGGGCGGGGCGCGCTCCTGTGGACGAGAACGCGGCACGTCCTCCTCCGAGCAGTGAGCGCGCAGGGAGACGTGCAGCCAGCGGCACTAACTTCCGCCTTCCAGTTGACTCTCAGGCCCGCGTCCCAGGGGGTCCGGTCGCTTGGATCTGCTGTGCCCGTCAGCTGACAGCCAGCACCTGTGCGGTCAGGGCCTCACCTCTTCCACCGGAACATTCCAAAATCAGTGAGTTCCATTTGTTGTGATTTTCAGCAAAAATCATGTTTATTTAAATGTATTTATTATAGGGCATGCTTGCTTCGTTATCCTTGGGATACAGAAAACCAACACCCCTTTTAAATATAACCTATTCCTTAAAATACACTGAAAAAGTAAGTCTCAATAATTACATCAGCAGCATGATGTTTTTGCCTGTAGAGTGACGGGTTTCTGAGATCTTTCGTGGCTGCTTTACCCAACACGTGGCTGTTCTATAAAAGTCACCCCAAAAAAGCAGTGTCATTTGCCTCATTTCCCGACGTTTGTTATTTTCTGAAACTGAGTCCACGCCGGGCTGTGTCGTGGTGCCAGATGCACACACATCTCTACAGCTTGGAGGTGCGTCATCCCTTACGTGCTGCACGGGGCTGAACCGTGGGAACGGGGTCAGAAAAGCCTGCCCCAAAAGGGGCCTCATTGGCGTACGGGCTCCTCCGCTGAAGGCGCCTGAGGAACAGCAGGTGCAGGAGGAACTCTCCACCCTCCTTTCGGCCAAAAACCCAAGCGTAGGTTTCCATTTGGAAAAGTTCCCCTCCACCCCCAACCCCCGCCCCTCATGCCAGGAGGAGACAACTCTGAACCACCGGACTCCTATCACGGGGCCTGCCAACTGGAGTCGGTGTAACGAACCTTACTAAACAGCCCTTATCCTCCATTAGCTTCCCGCAATTTACCTTCCCCCGGGGACCCCAAATCTCTTTGTCTAGTCACTTCTCTACAACTGACTGCCCTTTTTTAAAATGGTACATAAGCTCTTAGGCCTAACTACTTCTTGGCTTTCTCATTGCTTTTCTGTATAGCCCCTATGTACACGCAAAATAAATCTTTACTCCTGTTGATCTATCTTTTGTCAGTTTAATTCACAGGCCCCAGCCACTGAACCTAAGAGGCTAGAGGAAAATGTCCCCCTCAAAAAAGAAATGTGGCCCTGGCCGGTTTGGCTCGGTGGATAGAGTGTCGGCCTGCGGACTGAAGGGTCCCAGGTTCGATTCCGGCCAAGGGCATGTACCTTGGTTGTGGGCACATCCCCAGTGGGAGGCAGGAGGCAGCTGATCGATGTTTCTCTCTCATCGATGTTTCTAACTCTCTGTCCCTCTCCCTTCCTCTCTGTGAAAAACCAATAAAATACATTTAAAAAAAAAGAAAAGAAAAAGAAATGTGGCCCTAGCTGGTTTGGCTCAGCGGATAGAGTGTCAGACTGTGGACTGAAGGGTCCCAGGTTCGATTCCAGTCAAGGGCACAGGTCCAGGTTGCAGGCTCAATCCCAGGAGGGGGCGTGCAGGAGGCAGCCGGTCAATGATTCCCTCTCATCATTGATGTTTCTCTCTCTCTCTCCCTCTCTTCCTCTCTGAAATCAATAAAAATACATATTTAAGAAGAAAGAAGAAATGTGGCCCTTACACACAGTGGAGTATTAGCCTTAAGAAAGGGAGTCCTGGCACCTGCTACGCGACTGGACCTCAGAAGCTGTGCTAAGTGAAACAGACCAGACACAAAGGGCAGATGTCACATGATCCCACTTACATGAAATACTGAGAACAGACAAGTTACGGAGACCAAATAGATGAGATGTTAGCGGGTCCTGGGGGAGAGGGGGCTGGGGAGTGACCATTTAATAGGTAAAGAATTTCTGTTTGGGGCCATGGAAGAGTTTTGGAAATGGTGATGGTGATACAACATGATACTCAATGCTACTGAATTGTACATTTAAAATGGTTTAAATGGCAAATTTTATGTTATGCATATTTTGCCACAATAAAAAAGTTCCCATTTTTAAAAAACTTTATTTATAAATACAGGGAGTGGCTACAGTTTGCTGACCCCCAATCTAGAGTTTTCTACAACATGGTGGTGACTCATGACTCATGACGTAGCAGCCCAGCGCTCTAGACGAGAGGTGGTGCGTCCGTCCCACGGCTCTGCGACCTGCCGCGGCGAGGGCACTCCTCAGGGTGTGTGGATACACGTGGGAACACGGAGGAAGGTGCCTGTGATGGGGCTGTGTGCCCTTGGAAAGCCGCCACACTGTGTCCTGGGCACCGTGCTGGGGACCGTCTGCGAGGCCGTCTGCATGCCCGGCCTGGCCTCGCCGCTCTGCTCTCTGACCAGGAGTCTCCCCCGCGGGCCCGGCGTCCTGCCCGGAAAGGGGCAGCGAGAGGCCGGCCGGCGCAGAGCTGGAGGATGGCCGCACCGCCCTCAGGCACCGTTTCATCCAGAAGAATAAACATCCTCGCAGGAACGGACACGAGACGCGAAGCCCTACGTCCTGGGTGGGTGTCCAGCAACCTGCGCGCCAGCGGCTCCGGAGCCCTTAATGGAAATAAATCATGGTTTCTAAGTGACTCCCCGTGTGCGGGGCTTACTTCTCCGCAGAAGGTGAATGAACTGCGAAGTGCTACTTCCTGCAGGGCGTTTCCCCCAAATGCACAGGGGCCGAGAGGCTAAAAATGCAGACACGCACCATGTCTGCAGAAATCATAGAAAAAGATCAAATGTAGTATTTTCTTTCAACATGACAACCGCTTTGAGACTTTCCATTCAAGCAGACAGAACACAGCCTCCGGCGCTCGCCAATTCCTCCTGACAAATACCATTTGGGCTGAGTGATGCTGGAAGGGAAATAAAACAGTGGGAGGTAGAGACCAGAACATGATAAAAGGCATTCTTCTCGGTCTGCTGAGAGCCCTGTGAGCCGTCCTCTCGGGAGCGCCGCGCTCCTGCAAGCCGGACCATGTGACCCGAGTTCTCAGGTGACTTGTTTGACAGTAATGGGATGGGAAGACAAAACTCAGTGTTCCTGTCCCTTAAAAGGCAGTCGGCTCTTTATTCCCCTCACAAAGAAAACACGCAATAAAGAAAGGAAGGGCACCGGGGGCTGCTCCGTCATTCTGCACAAATCTGAACCAATGGCGCCAACAGTGCCGTGAAATCACCCCCAGACCCCAGACTGCCGGCAGCCCCGCCGGCTCCATCCACCTGCGAGCCGGCGGCACATCAGAGCCGGCTGCGGGGACCGAAGCACAGGACAGAACAGGCACGGCCAGCGCAGAGGGCACTGCCCGGTCCTCCCCACGCCCCAGCCCCCCGATTGTCCTCCTCCGCTAGGCTTCCTGTCCCAGAACCCCCGGCAGCCAGAAATGGGCCGGGAGAAGTCCGTCCCACCACATGCTCTGGCCCATCCCGTGGCCACAGCATCCCTGCAGCAAACATCCTCGCCACATAACTAGTTACCTTTTACCATTAAAAAGGAAAAATCACGATATATAAAAGAGGGACATTTGGGAGGGCATAATGAAACGTGAAAAGATGAAAAACAAAATTCAAAAGTTTCCTGTGAGATGCAGACTGTGATTACATTTAAACTGTAGTCATGGCAACACCACACAAACAGCAGACTCTGTTCTGTGGATGGCACCGAAGCACTTTCTCCTTCGTGGGAGCCGTGGGCCTGGCCTTGCTTTCTCCTCCCCGTGTCCTCTTGCAGGACGAGACCCCAACTCCTGGGGAAGTCATGTCATCGGGGAGAAGTGCCAACGATGTTAAGGGCTGGCTGAGAGCGACACGTGACCTAACCTAGAACAGGAGCGACTGTGAGAACCTCATCCACGGAGAAATGAAGCAAATGAAGCAAAACAAGAAAAGCAAATCGCAAGCAGCTACTTTTATCTCTTTTACGGCACCTGACTACTTCGTCAATAGAGAAATAAAGCCAAACAACAAAACTGCCAGCCAGTCATTGTCTCTCTTACGGCAGAAATGCCTCACAGCCCATTAGTTATAAGGCAGAAATGTCTGCGCGGAAACGTCTGCTGCAAAGGTGTCTACGCAGAGATGCTTCGGCTTGGCCCGGGCTCTGCTGTCTGCGGCAGGGACTTCGCCCCTGGCCCCTGAGCCGGGCTTTCCCCATCCATCGAGAGAACGGTGCCCGGCGAGGACTCCGTGCATGGATGGCACAGCCTGGCACCGAGCTGGCCCCGCACCCACGCGGGCCCTGGAGGTGCTGGAGAGCTGGCCCAAGGCAGCGTTTCTGACGTCCGTCACTGAGCAGACTCGGACGCGGCAGGCCCAGGGTGTGAGTCTCCTTTCTAACAGGCGAGCTCCCGGGGCGGGGGCGGGGGCGCTGCTGGCTGCAGACCACCGTGGGGAGCGGGTTGTAGGTGAGCTCCGGGGGCTCCTGCCACTACAGATTATAAGGAAGAAGATGGGCTCCGTGGCCCTGCCAGGACCCTGCTCCTGCTCCTGCTCCTGCTCCCAAATGGAGACGAATACTTCCTCTCACAGTTTCTGTCGGGCCCACGTGAGCCATGGCTCCCAGCCTCGCCTGCACGTTAAACCACATCAGAAACAGCGCCTGACCCCCACCTGACCTCCTCAGCAAGATCGCTTCCAGACAAACAGCCGCCACCGTCAGGCAACTCCGATCAGACCGACGGCCACGTGTGGGTCTCTCTCCGCGCCTAGTTCCAGGGGAACCTTCAAACCTGCAGCAGGGGCCTCGCCAGGCCCTGCAGGCGCTCTGCATGGAATGCCGCCCGCTCGAGGCAAGGCCGGAACGTGCATCCACGGAGAGGTGGCGCAGAGGGTCCAAGGACCTGCAAGGTGAGCGAGGCTCCACCTGAGGACAGACAACGGGGCCCTGGACGGCCCAGCAGACCCAAGAGATCATTTCAAACGAGGCCGCCGCATCGTCACTGTGCGATGTGCGGGGCCACCTCACGCCTGTCACCAGCCGGTTGGGATCGGAGCCTGTCAGTCAACATGGATGAAGGAGTCCACGGACACCGGGCACACTCCACTCGACCTTGAGGCTCTGTCCTCACGTCAAACGCACGCCTTTAAGGACGACGGCCAGCCCGTCAGAGGAAGGCTCCTTCCCGGCTCCAGACACACCTGGCAGAAGCCATCACAGGAGCAGACCCCCTTCTGGGTGGGGGCTCAGTTTACACCCTTGGAAGTGAGCCTTCCTGTTTGCCTGGCCAGGACCTGTCTGCCTGCTCTCAAAGACATGGAACTAAAACCTGCTCCCTGCGATGAGGCATTCTCTTCTGCTCAAGAAAAAGTGCCACATACTGACATTTCCTATGGCCTGTCGTAGGCAGACAGTCCTGCGTCTTATCACCTGCCCCTCCACCCTCACCTGAGCCCCACACCTGGTCAGGCCCCTTCGCCCTGAACTGCTGTGTAGCTGCCTGTTCTCACCCAAGGAGGCCAAGGCCCCAGAAGAGCAGGGACACCAGCGTTCTGTCCCAGGAACACAGAGTCGCTTTGCTTTGTCCAGATCCCACTCCCACCTGAACACAACTGCCTGCTTTTGAGGAGCCAGCCTTCCGGCTCGGCGGTCCTCTCGCGCCACCCAGTGGACGAAGAGGGAAGCGTCTCCAGCTCACTGCTGAGCCCGACTCGGCTCTGCTCCTCAGGCACCTGGATGGGCGAGTGGGGCTTGTCCTCACAGGAGGCCGTGACGTGCACCGAGTGGTGAGCACTGTGTGTTCTGCCGCTCACGTGGCACTGACCGGCTGAGCCGAGGACTCGTGCACTTGAGCTTGGGATTAACCTGTACTCAGCACGGGCTGCTGCATTTAAAGATGACGGGCGGCGACTGGGAGTACTCCCCCTCCTGCCTCCCACAACCCCGGTAGCTGTGGCCCTTGGAGGCCCGGAATGTTCAGCTGGGAGAAGTGGAAGCAGCTCGTCCTGCGCCCAGAGGCTCCGGAAGGGAACACCGCATCGTCTTGTGCTTCGACAATGTCCAGTGTTTCTAAGCAGCAGCTCTTGGCTTCTGTGGAATGATTTCTGCTCTGACACCCGCCCCCTTGTCCTGAACGTTAACAGGCGTGAAAACGCTGTGAACAGTAGGAACCCAGAGCCAAGATCTAAAAAGGATTCAGGGTAAAACGAACCTTAGTGTGCAGTGTTTCAGGCGTCACACCCTGCAGAGGGGGCGACACCCAGCAGGGGAGGCGATCGGAGGCACGTGGGTGAGTCACGAACAGCGGCCTGCAAACCGCTCAGGGTCTCGGCAGATGCCCGGAGGATCTTCAGCTCTTCTGTCCACAACGTTTCCACCAAAGTGAGCTGGTGTATCAACGCCATTTCTTTATCTTTCATGTGAGAAACCTGGAAGTTATTTTTAAACTTTTTATTATAAGAAAACATACATAAAATTTACCATTTTGAGCACTTTTAAATATACAGACAGTGGTATTTAGAATGTCAACAATGTTCTGTAATCATCACCAGACACTGTCCCCATTAGACACAACCTCCCAGCCCTGGCATCCTCCACCGCCCGTCTCTATGCCCCTGCTGTCCCAGATCCTCCAGAGGTGGAGCCAAGCAGTTTGTCTTCTGCATTCTGGCTTATTCCACTGAGCACAATGGTGCCTTCAAAGTTCACTAACATATTTTAAATCCCAGTAATGTTTTTATTCAAATGAGCTGTTCTTTATTTATTTTTAATTTTTTATTGATTTCAGAGAGGAAGGGAGAGCGGGAAAGAGATAGAAACATCAATGATGAGAGAGAGGGAGAACCAAGATGGCGGCATAAGGTACAAACCTGTACGTGCTGCCCCCCACAACAACATTAAAACTATAACTATAAGACAAAACAGCTATCATCCAGAACCACGGGAAAGCTGGCTGGGTGGAAGTTCTACAACTAGAAGGAAAGAAAAAAGCGCATTGAGACCAGGTAGAAGGTGCAGAGGCACCAAGAACAGAGGTACGGAGGCACGCACAAGGCGGCTGCACTTGGGTGTGCGGTTTGTTTCAATCGGAAGGGGATACAAGCTCTCAAATGCACTGAACTCATTTACGGCGAGACTCTGGGGTCCCAGACTCCTACGGGGAGAAACTGGACTGTCTTGCAGCGGGTCGGAAAGCGAGGGTGACTTTCTCGCAGAGCTGCTCACAGGGATCATTGTTGCTGTGGGGGCGCGGGACTCGGGGATTCAGAGACGTGGAGTCGCTGAGACGGCTGACAACAGCCATTGCTGTTTGCTCCGCCCTGGTGATTCTCTGAGACCCCGCCCCACTCAATTTACATCCCCACCCCAGCTGTGTACAGTGGCGCAAAGGAATCACCTGCGCTTTTGCAGCCTAACCTAACAAACTGCAGCTGGGTCAGAGAGCTCCAAAACTTCCAAACCCCAAACAAAGAGGAGAAACCTGCTGATATCGCTGTAGCTCCTGCTGGGTGGACTCACACAGTGGTTGACTTGGAGATCCAGGAGCCAGGGTACCCCTGGTCAGATACCAGATTTCAACTCCTCACATCTATAAGGGACACACTCAAGAAGCAGACTCAGTGAGCACCAAAGCCCCATTGAAGCAAGTCCTACCCCATAAGGGTGTCTCCAGCACAGCAGTTCTTCCACTGTAGACACAGCGGGTCCTCGCAGTCAGCCAAAATGCAGAGACAAAGAAACACATCACAAATGAAAGAAATGGAGGAAAGCAAACGAATGGAGGACATAGAGTTCAAAACCACAGTTACAAGGTTACTCAAGAATCTTCTACGAACCTCCGAGGAACTTAGTGAGACCTTCAAGGACCTTAATGAGAATGCCAAAAAAATGGAAAAGGACCAGTCAGAAATTAAACATGCACTGACTGAAATTAAAAATAATATACAGAGATCCAACAGCAGACTCAAGAATCAAGTCAAAGATTTGAAATACGAAAAAGCAAAAAATACCCATCCGGAAAAGCAAAACGAAAAAAGGATCCAAAAATATGAAGATAGTATAAGGAGCCTCTGGGACAACTTCAAATGTACCAACATCCGAATTATCGGGGTGCCCAAAGAAGAGAGAGAGCAAGAGACTGAAAACCTATTAGAAGAAATCATGACAGCAAACTTCCCCTACCTGATGAAAGAAATAGACTTATAAGTCCAGGAAGCGAAGAGAACCCCAAATAAGAGGAATCCAAAGAGGACCACACCAAGACACATCATAATTAAAATGCCAAGGGCTAAAGACAAAGAGAGAATCTTAAAAGCAGCAAGAGAAAAACAGTTAGTTACCTACAAGGGAGTACCCATACGACTGTCAGCTGATTTCTCAACAGAAACCATGCAGGCAAGAAGGGAGTGGCAAGAAATATTCAGTGATGAATAGCAAGAACCTACAACCAAGATTACTTTACCCAGCAAAGCTATCATTCAGAATTGAAGGTCAGATAAAGAGCTTCACAGATAAAAAAAAGCTAAAGGAGTTCATCACCACCAAACCAGGATTATATGAAATGCTAAAAGGTATCCTTTAAGAAGAGGAAGAAGAAGAAAAAGGTAAAGATAAGAATTATGAACAAAGTGACAACAAATAAGTATCTATCAACAAGTGAACCTAAAAATTAAGTCAGAATAAACTGGTGAATATAATAGAAGCAGGGGCATAGAAAGGGAGTAGACTGACAATTCTTGGGGGGAAGGGGTGTGGGGGGTGCGGGAAGAGACTGGACAAAAATCTTACACCTATGGATGAGGACAGTGGCAGGGGGTAAGGGCATGGGGTGGGGTGGAAACCAGGTGGAGGGGAGCTATGGGGGAAAAAAAGAGGGACATCTGTAATAACCTGAACAATAAAGATTTATTAATTTAAAAAAAAAGAAAAAATGTAAAATAAAAAAATGATGAGAGAGAATCACTGACTGACTGCCTCCTGCACGCCCCCTACTGGGGATCAAGCCCGCAACCCAGGCAAATGCCCTGACCAGAATCAAACCCAGGACTCTTGAGTTCACAGGCCAACACTCTATCCACTGAGCAAAACCGACTAGAGCAGCTGTTTTCTCACTTAATTAAAATAGTTACTAAATAAAAATAAAAGGAAAAGAGTACTTAAAAATCGATTACCAAGAATTCATGCAATAATTTTACCTATTAAAAGGTGCAGACAGAATGTTAACAGTCAAAAAACAGATCATATCAATGTTCATATATTTAAGGCATTAAACAACACTCAAAGAAGGTGTACCATCCCTATCCAACCTGCCCAAAACAAGTAACTTCTTAATCAAAGCACTTCTTTAAGAAAAAGATGCAAGCCCTAGCCGGTTTGGCTCAGTGGATAGAGCGTTAGCCTGCGGACGGAAGGGTCCCAGGTCCAAGTCCAGTCAAGGGCACATGCCTGGGTTGCGGGCTCAGTCCAATAGCAGAAGGCAGCCAATCAATGATTCCCTCTCATCACTGATGTTTCTACCTCTCTCTTCCTCTCCCTTCCTCTCTGAAATCCATTTTTTAAAAAGGCATTAAAAAAAAGAAAGCCCTAACCGGTTTGGCTCAGTGGATAGAGCGCCGGCCTGCGGACTGAAGGGTCCCAGGTTCGATTCTGGTCAAGGGCTTGTACCTTGGTTGCAGGCACATCCCCAGTAGGAGGTGTGTAGGAGGCAGCTGGTCGATGTTTCTCTCTCATCGATGTTTCTAACTCTCTCTATCCCTCTCCCTTCTCTCTGCAAAAAATCAATAAAATATTTAAAAAAGAAAGAAAGAAAAAGATGCAAAATTATAGAAACACACCTTTTGAAGCATAGCACTAGCCTCCTCTGTGAAATAACGGCATATTTTCTGGGCGATGTCCAAACTCATCTTCTCATTTGTTTCTGAAATTCTCTCCCCAAGAAGGACTTTTTTCCAGCGAGGACTAGAACCAAAATGTTTAATAAGATCATTTCAGCAGGGTCTCAAAAAATAAAGACGACTTTTACACCTCAACAACACACACAGCCCTCTGTTTCCAGAAGCATCACAAAGCCCGTCCCACAGCGGATTCCTCTCATAACCCCCCCAGGGACTCCCCACACTCCCGCCCGTGCTCCTCCCTGTGCTGAAACGGACGAGGTTCACAGAAGGCACTGCGAGAACAGGAGGCGGCCTGGCACTCTCATTACCGCGCGACCCTGGGCCGGGCGCAGTGGGCCGGCAGGTAGGATACACGTCTGAGGGTGGGCAAGAGGGAGCAGGAGCAGCCCGGCTGGCGTGGCTCAGTGGGTGAGCGTCGACCCATGAACCAAGGAGGTCACGGTTCGATTCCCAGTCAGGGCACAGGCCCGGGGTAGTGGGCTTGATCCCCAGTGAGGGGCTTGCAGGAGTCCAGGAGGCAGCAGATCGGTGAGTCTCTCTCATCGTTTATGTTTCTATCTCTCTCCCTCCCCTCCTCTCTCTGAAATCAGTAAGAACATTTGTTTTTAAAGAGGGAGCAACAGCAGGATGCTGAGCCAAAGGTGGCAGCACCACTCCATACGCTGCAAGAAGCACCAATGGGAAGGAGGGTGGAGGAACAGATGCTGGGCGTACAGAATCTGCAGAGGAAGTGGCTTGGACGGCAAAAGGCACGGTGACTGGGCCTACGGCAACAACCGCATGCAAGTAAACAGAAGGCACTTAGAAATGCAGAACCAGCCCTAACCAGTTTGACTCAGTGGCTAGAGCGTCGACCTGCGAACTGAAGGGTCCCGGGTTCGATTCCGGTCAAGGGCATGTACCTTGGTTGCGGGTACCTCCCCAGTAGGAGGTATGCAGGAGGCAGCTGATCAATGTTTCTAACTCTCTATCCCTCTCCCTTCCTCTCGGTAAAAAATCAATAAAATAAATTTAAAAAAAGAAAGAAAGAAAGAAATGCAGAACCAAAACAGAGAAGCCCCATTGAGCCAGCACCACCATTCCAGGCACTGAGCTATCTCATGGAACCCTCCCAACCACTCAGGGACGCTTCACCTTCAGGAAGTCCTCCCTGCACTCGGCTTCTCGGCTCTGGCTCTGACCAGACCAGCACCGGCTGCAGGAGCTCCAGGCCAGGCAGCACAGCACACACCACGGGAGCCCTCGGTCCTTTCCATGGGGGGTGGGGGGGTGGACCAAAAGCCTGACCAGGACCCATGTTTCAACAGGGGCTCCCCTGCTGCCTCCCCCATGAAAACGCCCAGGCCTCTCCCTGGATCTGCCCCTGGGGCAGAACAGGGGAGGGGGAGGGGCAGGAGCTCTGTTGGCTCCGGGAAAACCACCCACTCAGACTCCCCTCTGGGCAGTGCCTGTGCCCACACTTCTGAACAAGGAGCTGCAGGTCCCAGGGGGAACCTCTGAGGAGAGACTAGAAGTTCTCCAAACCACGCGCTCTGACTGTGATGCTCAAACAGAACCGGGAAAACTACGGAGAGAAACACCCAGCCCGCGGGTGAGTGGCATCAAGAGCACGCAGCCCACGCCCACGACGGCATCCCAGAGCTACAGCCTGACCCACCCACGTGCACTCACAATTCTCCAGCCTCCAGACACAGCAGCTTCAGGGCCGTGAGCAGCCTCCAGGACGGCCCGTCCCATCCGAACGTCAGGTTTCTGCGAGGGGGGACAGGACAAGCCGTCACTAGTACTTCGGGACCAAGGCTAACACAGTTTCTCTAAAGCAGCCACTAAACGTTAGGAAGCCTGCAGTCTTGGTCAGAAAGACAAAAGGAAAGTAAGTCTTCAGATACCTAATGATAAAGCCTGAGTAACAGGAAAACCTCTCACGTTTAAGAAAAAAAAAAATGCAAGCCATTTTCCAACGCACTTGGGTCAGAAGCCGGAGCTGGAGGAGGTCCAGCGGCAGGCACGGCCAGTCACAGGGAGACGGAGGCTGACGCCTCTGGGTGGTCTGGGGGTTAAACTAGCGGCAGCACCACAGCGCGACCGGCCTGGGCAGAGCTGGGTCACTCACAGCTGCACTTTATCTACCGAAGGGAGAACCCTGACCCTCTTCTCCCTTTGGGTGTGAAGTCACCAGCCACCCCCATCCCAAGAGCCCACGCCGTGGTCGGGGAGGGCCAGCCTGGCCTCCACCCGCCGATGCCACACCACCGGACCACAGTCAGAGACCCACGCGACCTGGGCCACAACCAACTCACCCAGGCTCCCTTCTGGCACCATGTTTCCTGTCCCAGCGGCCTCTACGTCCCTGAACAGCTTTCTTGGGAAGTACCTTACACTCCCGTGTGCCCCACGACACCAAGCACCGCTCACTGCAGAGTAAGTGCTCGATAAACACCTACCTGCAGCTGGTGAGTCAGAAGGTGTCTCATCCCTACAGAACCCTAACCTCCATTTTCTCATCACAATTTCCCGATGGAACAATTTTGAGAGAGAGGAACACTTACTCTATAAAGTCATGATCCTTTAAAATGGAAATCTTTCTGTTCATCTGCTTATCTGTTGATGGAAGATATTTAACAAGCACATCTACATAAAAAAAATCAGACTGAGATTTAGGATGTAATTCAGACAAAAGTATAAACCTCCCCTTCTCAGCTTACTTTCCTTCCCATTGCAACCAAGACACATGGAAACAGTTTCACCTAATTCATACAGAACAGAGGTCTATTCGTCAAGGCCCACGCAATGAGATCGTCATCAGCTCCAGAAAAGCCACACAACTCCACGAGGCAGGGACCAAACACCCGCAACCCAGCTCACGCTCCCACTCGGCACGCGGGCCAACAAGCCCAGTCCCGACGACCGCCCCCGGCAGGCCTGCTGGGAAGCCCAGCTCCGCGGCTGGCGCTGCACCCACACGAGGTGCGGAGCTTCTAAACGCAGACTCGCAGCTGAGCAACTAAAAGTGAGGATGCAAACGGGGCTAAGCCGCTGGGCAGCAGAGACATGAGGGACTTTTGTATTTTTAAATTTTCTCTTCGGATTTGTCTTTATTTTTAAATGCAATCATCACTAATACATAAATGTTGATCACAAGTCAGCACTTCATGGTCATGATGTTGAAGTTATTCTGATAACACAAGGCTCATCTCAAAGCCCCTTTTCTCAGACACCGGCAAGGCTTGCTTTTGCGTTTCTATGTTATTTCATAAAGAACAGCATTCTTCTGCCCGCAGGATGGAGTAGCAGCACCTCGACCACGTCTCTATTTCCGCTAGAACTTGTATTAAAACCACCTCAAGTATACACGCGGTGACCGTGCTGCTCCTCGCGCCGGGAGACAGTCCGTGCCGCCTCAGAAGGGACCAGGCTTCCATGTACTGTTTCCCACGATGTTGGGAATATTCACAGCATAAGTTTTTTAAAATATATTTTTATTGATTTCAGGGAGGAAGGGAGGGAGGGAGAGAGAGAGAGAGAGAGAGAGAGAGAGATAGAAACATCAATGATGAGAGAGACTCACTGATCAGCTGCCTCCGGCACGCCCCCTACTGGGGATGGAGCCCGCAACCCACGCATGTTCCCTAACTGGAAATTGAACCATGGCCTCCCGGTTCATAGGTGGGTCAACGCTCAACCACTGAGCCACGCCAGCTGGGCCACAGCATAAATTTACTAGCGAAATCCTGATCTTAGAAAGAATAACACCAAGGATGAGGGCTACTTAATGGCCACAAAAGAGCGTAACCCAGGACTTCATCACGCACCGCGCCCCGGAACAAGGACGGGCATGCGTCTCTGTGGTGAGCACGGTGCGTCACACACAGCAGTGCTGAATGTTTATGTGTGTGGCTTTCTAATCTCAGTACAGAGATCTCCATTTCTTTCCATCTATTAAATATGCATTTCCTTAGCACGCTTCCTGGTCCTCCATTCCTGTCTGACCCAACACAATAAACTCTTCTTGGTTCTTCTCATCCTCAATGTCGGTCAAAGCTTCGTTGTTTTTATGTCATTATCACAATTACATGGTCAACCAGAGTGAGGCAAGCCCTACCTCGGAGAAAATAAACAATATACATTTTAAGGATTGCTGCCCGGCCGGCATGGCTCAGTGGCTGAGTGTCAACCTATGAACCAGGAGATCACAGTTCAATTCCCCGTCAGGGCACATGCCTGGGTTGCGGGCTCAATCCCCACTGGGGGGCGTGCAGGAGGCAGCCGATCAGTGAATCTCTCTCATCACTGATGTTTCTCTCTCTCTCCCTCTCCCTTCCTCTCTAATATCAATAAAAATATTTAGAAGGAAAAAAAAGGATTGCCATTTTTATTAAAACTTAAAAGAACCTCACCCCCAGATGGGGAAGTGTATACCATCTTAGTGATAGGAACCGAAGTTCATCCGACCTTGTGAGACGGGGACACACGCGTGGGGGTTCCCGCGGGGAACGAACCCGTACTCCAGCAGCAGCCGCCGGCTGTCGTGGGGGCCGTAGCAGATGAACACCTCCTCGTGCCGTCTGCAGCCCGAGCCCGTCCTGATTTCATAACAGCGGGTTTCCTCATTAAATGCTGCTTTCACCTAGAAAGGAAAATCGTTAGTTTTTTAAAGCAAAACCCAAAACTAAAACGACTAAGTTATTTTGTTTATTTAAGCCCTATGCCCCTTTGAAACACTCATCGCTGAATGTAACCGCAGGTGGGAACAATGAAGGTGCCCAGGGCAGCCCCTCCATTCGCCCCACTGGCAAGCGAGTCCCACCACTGGGCCCTGGGGATGGCAAACACTTGACATTGGATAACACCTGACAATGGATATGTCACACAGACAGCCCGGGGAGGGAGGAGGGGGAAGAGGGAGAAGGGAGGCGGACAGGCGGCCGGCCCCCAGGCTGAACTCGTAAGCGGGCAGCCACCAGCAGGGGCCACAGGAAGCAGGCTTTGTAGTAACAAGAGGTCACTGGTTCTCCGGGGAAGATGTGAGTTACTTGTTTGAATAACTTCCAGGGCTGGCAGGGAGGCGAACCTGTTAGGGTGAGGACCGGGTAGGGGCAGCTCGTCTGGCTGACAGAGCAACCAGCCAGGAAGCCTTCCGCACCAGGTTGGGGACTACGAGGTGTGAGCAGGGAGCTACCCGCCAGGCCTCTGGGGCCCTGTGAGCCCAAAGGTGTCAAGGCACACGCGGGATTTCAGGTCTTACAATAAGGCCTTTGAGCATGACACTGGCTGACACTGTCGTATGGATTTTGTGACTGTTTTGTGAGCTGATGGGTAGAGAGGAAAAGAACAAGAAGACCTACCTGCTCCCCACAGAAAGGAGTGGGTGCAGGCACTGAGGCCCCTTCCTTAGCAGCAAGCCCAGCGAGCCCCAGGAGGCGAGGAGGAGGAGCAGGCTGAAATTCCCACCTGGCAGCATCAACAATAGATTAAGGCCATGGTTTGGAGTCTCATGCCAAAAGCCACTGCAACGCACTTTAGGCCCGGCCGGCAACTTCTTCCATAGAGGGCCAGAGAGGAAATGCTCAGCCCGCCAGCGCCCTGAGCCACATGCCCCGCTGCAGGAGGCAGTACCCACACTCACCTGTAAAATCACTGGTCCTGGGGGCGTAAATGCATTAACAGCAATAAAAATAAAGCCACCCCAATGGGGCAGAGTCCCTGTGTCCAGCATCCTATTGTACTACGGCCCCCCTCATTTCATCAACATCAACCACAGACACCCTCCTGGCTCGGCCTCCCGCACTCAGTGTTGTCAGAAACGCATCCTCCTAAGGAAGTGACAAGCAGACAGGCAAGGAGTGTCCTGGCCTTGGAGGCACGGCAGGGCCTCCCCACGCTCCCTCCCAATGGCAGTGGGCGAACCAGGTGGCTAACCGGATGGCACAGGTCTTCCCCGGGCGGCCGGGTGTGAAGAGGACAGCGAGCAGGGGTCCCAGCCAGTGCGCCTGCAAGTGGACCCTGGGAGGGTTGGCTGTGGGTGAGCCGACTACAGACACCTCTGCCCTCAGGCAGGCCCTCCCCAGCAGGCCCTGCAGACAGAACCGTCTCCGTCCTGTGCCACAGGGGAGAGGGCAGAGGGCAGAGGGCGAGGGATCTGACTCTCCCACAGCAGGCTTCTCCAATGACTTCCGGGCTCCTTTCCCCACTCCATAAAGTTTTGTTTGTTTGCTTGTTTTGTGTGTTTTTTAATAAAAGTTTATTGAAGGCCTACTACGTGCCAGGCCCTGCGCTGAGCACTGGGATTACAAAGAGGAACAAAGCAAAGTCCCATCCTCTTAAGACTGCAGAGCTCAGAGAGGGGGGCAGTACATTAACCAGAGATCACAGCAAAGATCAAAGCGGACAGCAATGCCCCCAAGTATAAAAGGGGTCGGTACAGGAACGCAAGCCAGACTCCTGGGCCAGTTCTGGAAGGAGGAAGACTGTGCACCACAGGTGGGCGAGGGAGGGGAGGCTGCGGGTTAAGACCTGGGGGGGGGTAGGGGGGGAGTATAGCACTGGGCTCTGCGGGCCAGGAGGGACATGGGGTCGGAGCAGACAGGAGCACGCCTGGCGGCAGGCAGTTACCTGGAGCCAGCACACCTTCCCTGTGGCCCACTCCCTAGTCTAGGTCACAGGTTCTAAAGTCGCTGTCCTCCCTGTGGACACAGAACGGGTGCCCCCTCGGCAGCCTCTCACCTGGACGGCCGGGCTGTGGTTCAGCAGATCCAGGTACGGGGCGAGCGCGCAGGTGTCTGGCTCCGCGGACAGGCCCTGCCTCCGGCCCCGCTCCATGTACACGGCTCTGGTGTTGACCGTGCACCAGGCCCACAGGAAGGCCCTGTAGCTGAAGACGCTTGCCGCAGCCTCGGAGAGCAGAGGCTGCAGGGAGGAGAAGAAGCCTCGGGAGGACGTAAACAGCTCACGCACGCGCGTCCTCTGCTCTCTGGCCTTCGCTTCCAAAGGCCCGGGGAGAAGAGCCACCACTTCCGGCTCCAAACACACAGGGCAGGTGTAGGCCTTCGGCAAAACCTCCAGGTAGGGCTTCCAGGGGGACCGGTCCCCAGCATGCTTTTCTGCAACTAGAAAGGTGCACAGAGCCAGCAGAGGAGACGGGAGAGGCTGCCACCTTTTCAAATTAAAAGCCAGAGTAAAGAAGTTACTCTTATTGGAAGATACAGACGCTCTAGTGCAGCGGTTCTCAACCTGTGGGTCGCGACCCCTTTGGGGGCCCAACGACCCTTTCATAGAGGTCGCCTAAGACCATCCTGCATATCAGATATTTACATTACGATTCATAACAGTAGCAACATTACAGTTATGAAGTAGCAACAAAAATAATGTTATGGTTGGGTCACAACATGAGGAACTGTACTGAAAGGGCCAGAAGGTTGAGAACCACTGCTCTAGTGGTTAGTTCTGCTCCCAGAGGGATGGGGCGGTCAGCACTCACCCAGCTTATTTCATGGCCCATGGGAGGGTCTTCCTTCCTCAAAGCTTTCTCTCCAGAGAGCACCCAACACAAGTGCTCTGAGCAGGTCACGCCACACAAGAGCGGACTCACCAACCCGAGTCCCAGCTTTGTTTGCAAGATTCCTTTCTGCAAACACCCTCTCTGCTTCCAACTTGGTTGTCCAGCTTTAAGCTTTTGCTGGCAGTCCACTGGTTTCACTGGGATAATTAGGGCACTTGGTGGGGGACCAATGGAAAGAACCTAGTACATCCACTGGTACATGTAGGCATTTCTATTTTAATCCTAAATTACCATCTCTATTGCAAATTATACACTGCAGTATTTTTATCTGTTCACAGTGAAAAATCTCATGCTGCATGAATGTATCAAGAAAAGTTTACATTAATCCTTCAACGTCTAGATTCCTATATTACCGTATATTCTACTCAAAATTTCAGAACGATATGGAAAATATTAATGCTAAGAGCACCCTTGCCTCCACTCACACCAATAAAGATATATCGGTCCTCTTACAAACACAAGTGGGGCCCAGCCAGGGCCGCTCAGTGGCTGAGTGTCCATCTATGAACCAAGATGTAGGTTCAATTCCAGGCGGGACACAGGCCCCGGTTGCAGGATCGATCCCCAGTAGGGGGCGTGCTGAAGGCAGCGGATTGATGACTCATCACTGATGTTTCTATCTACCTCTCCCTCTCCCTTCCTCTCTGAAATCAATAAAAATACATTAACTTTTTAAAGAGCTATCGGGCGGGGGGGGGGGGGGGGGGCACATTCAGAATTTACCCTGGGCTAAGACACAATTCAACCTTTCACACCTCACAATTCAGAAACCCTTCTGCTGAGGCTCTCACACTCTGTCCGCAGACGGGCCCGAGCGGAGGCCCAGGAGAACACGAGCTGGAAATCAGTTCTCCCTTCAAGGCTGGCCCCTCTCTCCTACGCTAAAAAAAGCTAACTCTTTCCTAATGTCAACAGCTCTTCAGAGCTGAAAGAAAATTCAAGCAAGTACAGTGAGGGTAAAAATAAAAGAGAAATTGACATCTGTCATGCTCCACTACGATGGAGAACGAGCTACTGTGAGCAGGGCGCTCGGCCCTGACTTCATTATCCCATTTCATCTGCAGTTTCCGGGACAGATCAGGACTCAAACCCACCTCCCAGTTGGCCATGAATTAAAACAAGCCTCACAGACCAGAGTAGCCCTGTTGCACCGTTGCAGGTATCGGCTACGCAGGGGCTGGGTCCTCCTGAACTCTGCCTCAGGTGACACACCTGCCGATGGTGCAGACTTTAAGGAGAAGCGGTGCCCCGGTTAGCATGTGTGCGGTCACTTACTTAGCAATGTACGCCCCTAAGTGGCTCCTAATCACTGTGTCCGTGGTGAGCAGGCAACTCTCAGGCAACGAAATAATCACCTGTCCCTCCTTCCCGAAAAAGAAAGCAGAGTTTAGAACGCCCGTGCTTTGGGAAGGGCCTGTGAGCGCGCGTCTTTCCAAGTCCTCGGTTTCACCTACTAAGAGCCCAGAAGAACCCGACCACAGAGACCACCACCGACTAACTGCCAAGCCCGAGTCGGCGGGCGTCGGCAAGGCCGCTCCAGCGCGGGCACTGCGACCCCGACAGGAATTAAAGGTCAATTATGTGACTGTCAGCCTTTCACCAGAAAGGAAAGTGGAAACACTGGCAACTCAAATCAAATTGTTCCTTCACTTCCTTAGGCCAGGAAATTGTGCTGCCTTCAGGAAACAGGCAGAACCCCACACACTCACACACAAAAACCCACCTGGTGCAACCCCCTGTACCCAGCGGCTGTCCTAGAAATGGCCCACCCTCCCTCAGCCTGTGTCCACTAGCTAAAGCAAGGGCAGCCCGCCAGCACAAGGGGCCCATCTAACACCTGCAGAAGGACAGCTCTTCACACGGAGACGGGAACAGAGAAAGGAAAATTAAGAGGCAAGTAACGGACCCCAGAAACAAGTAAGTCGCCAACAAGCCAGGCGTAAGGTCCTGCTGTCGTTGTAACTGGCCTCTCAGTTACGAATTTCAGCCCAAAATCAGCTGGGTGCCACTGCCAGTTGCCTCATCTGTAAATCGCGATTACACTAGGTCACCACTGCCACCTCTTCCTGCCCCGACATCCGTGACTTCATGGTTTTAAAAATCCACTCGGTGCTCAGATGGTTAGAGAATCCTCCTGTACAACAAAAGGTTGCGGCTCGATTCCCGGTCGGGGTACGTACCTAGGTTTCGGTTTGATCTCCACTCAGGGCGGGTAAGGGAGACAACCTATCAATGTTTCTCTCTCTCTCTCTCTCAAATCAATAAAAACATTGTCAGGTGAGGATTTTTTTTAAAGCCACTTGATAAAATGGTCTATATCAGTGAGGGCGAACCTTTTGAGCTCGGCGTGTCAGCATTTTGAAAAACCCTAACTTAACTCTGGTGCCGTGTCACATATAGAAATTTTTTGATATTTGCAGCCATAGTAAAACAAAGATTTATATTTTTGATATTTATTTTATAAATTTAAATGCCATTTAACAAAGAAAAATCAACCAAAAAAATGAGTTCGCGTGTCACCTCTGACACGCGTGTCATAGGTTCACCATCACTGGTCTATATGGTCCTTGGGGTAAATCTCTTCATCATCAAAACTCATCAAACTGAACACTTAAAAGCTGGGCAGCCCAGCCAGCGTGGCTCCATGGTTGAGCATCGACCTATGAACTACTAGGAGGTCAAGGTTTGATTCCTGGTTGGGGCACATGCCCAGGTTGCAGGCTCAAACCCCAGTAGGGGGTGTGCAGGGGGCAGCCGATCCATGTTTCTCTCTCATCCATGCCATGTTTTTCTCTCATCAATGTTTCTATATTTCTCCCTCTCCCTTCCTCTCTTTAAAATAAATAAAAACCTATTTAAAAAAATAACCTACAGTCACCGCTATATGCATGAGAGGTATATGTCTCCTTTCCAAATGCTGCTACAGAATGAGGTCAATTACACCTCTGTTCAAAAAACAAAAACATTACACAACAACGTACATGTGCTTAATGCTAATAAGCTGCACAGTTAAAGTGGTTAAGATGATAAGTTTTATTTTATACTAGTATATATTTTTGCCACAACTAAAAATTATAAAGTAATTTAAAAATTAAAACAGCATAATAGAATTACAACACTAAAAGTTACCATTCTTTACACTAAACATACTAGTATGTGTAAGGCTGGGGTTTATATAAATTAAATTAAGAAATTAAAATAATGTTAAATAAAAATAAATTAAGTAATTAACGGGTAGCTTTACAGAAAACTGTATTGTCCTTTAAATGGCATAAATGGACCTTGGAGATCAGATCACCATGCCATTCACCTCCTTGTTTTCCAGGGGAGGACACAGAAGCCCACGGGGTCCAGAGCCTTGTCCCTCCGGTGCCACAGCAGGCTGGCGCCTGGGACAGGCCCGGAGGCCTCCTCCCTCTGCTCGCTCGTTTCCACCTCCTCTGCTATGCGCAGTCTCTCAGATGAGAGCGGCTTCCTCCCGTGCACGGTTAGCACATGATCTGGTTTATAAAATCCACTGTGGCAGACTGCTGGCTGCCTACCCAACAGCCTCTCTCCTCCTCACCACCCACACCCCCTCCCTGCCCCCGAAGGGCACTGCGGACAGGTGTCGCCTCCCGCCGCCGGGGCTGCGCACCTGGTCGCTGACAGCGGAGAGGAGGCTGGTTCATGGGTCCCCTTTCCTGGACGGGAGAAGCTGCCCTTGCTCACCCCTTGCTGGGCCCTGCTGCTCCAGCTCCAGGAGCTACACGCTGGACCTGAGGGTGGCAGCTCCCTCTAAGGACGTGGGTGGAGAGCTGCTAAGTCCTGGGCCTCCGACGGCCACGGGACGCCACACCAGCCAGGTCGCCTACCCAGGTGTGTTCAGGTGACAGCAAAATAAACTGCACCAAGCCCTGCTACTTGGGTTTGTCTCCAGTATGCAGCAAGCAACTCTCACTGGCAGAGTTGTACTGAAACTTATCTGTAAGTAAAAAATGCCTGTATGCCAAGCATATTTTTAATCCACTTGGTTTAACCCCCAAAAACAAAGCAGCAACATCTGCACTGGGTCTCAAGGACAAGAGAGATGCTCACCTGCAGGGACGTTCTGCTCATCAGCCCTCTCCCGGTATCTAGGAACGCAAAGACAGGAAAGGGTGAATCTACTGCAGCTTCCAGGCCTCAGAGACACTCTGAATAGAAGATGTGAATGAACTTCAAAGCCGGTGTCTTGACCCTGAGTCCCGGAGGATCAAGAAGCTGCTCTGGAAAATGTAAATGTGCTGACCTCCCCTTGGGTTTGTAATCCTCCAAGGGCAAAGTGAGCTTCAGAATCAAGACCTACAGACCAGGCACCTTCTACAGATCTGCTTCCGGGTCTCTCAGGAACCCTTCAGCTGACCTCCTCCGCTGGGGTCATCCTTTAGACTTGTATGATAATTTAAGCGGAAATGCATCTCCAACCATATACAGGGGTAGGCAAAAGTAGGTTTACAGTTGAAATACAAATAATACAATAATTAATGCATTACAATACAAGAATAAGCTGTGTGTTTTGAGTACTCGCAACTGTAAACCGACTTCCGTCCACCCCTGTGTATGAACCGAACTTGGCATACGGGATAAACCTGGAAGATGCTTTACCGCTATTTCTACAACATATCAAGTTCAGAAAACAGAGCCCAGCAAGCTACACTTACTAAGGCGAGGCGGGAAGTGGCCACGAGGACCATATAAAAGTAAAGCTTATTACAGACTAAGCTCCAGGAACGTCTGCGCTTCTGCTGATGGACAATAACACTAAGACTCAGGTCACTGGGCATATAATTGTCTACACTGCTGGAAAGGAACATCAGATCGGTGGCTCGCCTCTGAGAGGGCGCAAGATTTTATAATCGCAATTTTTATGGATTATCCTTATTCCTGCCTTCGCCTTATTTTTCTATTTTCATCCCCCTTTTGTAATTTTGAATTTTATTTCACTATTTCAGCATTTCTTCCCACAAGCCACTTCATTTACTTTTAGAACAAGGTAAAGCATCTTAACACATTGTATGCGGGAAACGTATTTACACGTTTTACGTTGACTGGTAGTACAGCGCAGGACACATATTAATGTTTTTTATAGACTAACGGTAGAATGCAGGTAACGTATAAATACGTTTATTTTTATACTTTTTTATTGCTCTCAAGGGATGCTAACATGCAGATATGCCGGGAGCCGGTCCATGCTTGCTGTTTCAAGGGACCTGGCACATATGGCATACTGTTCTTAATATGTTTGCTCACCTTCTTGGCACTATGTGTTTTAACCAAGGTCTCCTCTCTGAGAAAGGTTGTTTCCCCAGGTAGGGATTTTCCCCTGAAGTTAGGGAGGGAATAAAACCTCTTAACTAAGTGCCAGGTGGGTAATTAATCACTTTAACTACGAACAATTGTGCTTAAGCTACATAATCTTTACTCCCTGGAATGAAGATAAGAAACGCCCTAACCTTTGTAATAGAAATTGACAGGATTGAATCAACTGGTATAAATACAGAAGCAACAAGACAGCAAGAGCCAGAACTCAGAACACAGAACGAAGACAGAACTCAGAAGAAGGAACCTACACAGACAGAAGAACTTCGCTGGAGAGAACATGGCAAAAGATCCTGGACTGAACCTGACTACAGAAATTGGCAAGAGAACCTGACTGGAACCTGGTGACTGAACCTGGCTGGAGAACCTGGACAGAACCTGGCTGGAGAATCTAGCAAGGGAACATGGCTACAGAACCTGGCTGGAGAACCTAGCAAGAGAACATGGACACAGACCCTGGCAGGAGATCCTAAGCAGAACCTCTCTGGAGATCCAGACCAGAACTTGGCTGGAGATCCTGGCTAGAGATCCTGGCTAGGCTGCTGATCAACTGAACGCTGTCACCATGTCATTCCTTCTTCGCCAACTCCGTCCACACCTTTGGGGACCCCTGGACCCGCTGGGGTTGGACCCCAGCACAGATATACGAATTCCAAAGGACAAAATTTGGGTCTCTAACACATACATTGGTGAATTATGTATGTACTTGCAGGTCTAACGGTAATCTATTCAACTGCGTAGAGCAGGGGTGGGCAAACTTTTTGACTCGAGGGCCACAATGGGTTCTTAAACTGGACCGGAGGGCCGGAACAAAAGCATGGATGGAATGTTTGTGTGAACTAATATAAATTCAAAGTAAACATCATTACATAAAAGGGTACGGTCTTTTTTTTTTTTAGTTTTATTCATTTCAAACAGGCCAGATCCGGCCCGCGGGCTGTAGTTTGCCCACGGCTAGCGTAGAGTCATCCCTTCACACAATTCTCTGCCTCGCCACGCATTCAGTGCAATTCTAAGAAAAATAATTCAGTATACATTTTATAGTAAATCACAAAAAGTTTCATTGAAAAAAAATATGTAAAACTAATTTTTCTGAACATTGCCATTTGCGCAAAAAATTAGCAAAAATGGCCCGCGCCACCTGTTAGCACGCGATAAAAACTACCCGCAAACAATGTGTTAATCCACCTTCTCAAATATTACAGCTACAGCTTGGCCAGCATGGCTCAGTGGTTGGGTGTCAACCTATGAACCAGGAGGTCAGGGTTTGACTCCTGGTCAGGGCATATGCCTGGGTTGTGGGCTCAACCCCCACGGTAGGGCATGAAGGTGGCAGTCAATCAATGATTCTTTCTTATCACTGATGTTTCTCTCTCTCTCTCCTTCTCCCTTCCTCTCTGAAATCAATAAAAATATATTTTTTAAAAGAAAATTACAGCTACAAGGCAGGAAGCTGACACAATACGAGATACGCTCCCCAAGATAATACAGCTACCTGCAAGGCTCACCCCTGCTTTCCTGTCACCTGTGCCATCTCATGTGACAAAGGTCATGAGAACTGAAAGCCAGACTCACCTGGAAAACAAGCAGGTATTAAATTTGTATCTTCAAACTTCCTAGCTTTCAACCACTTCTTAAGCGCTATAAATTCAGGCTTGTAGCTCTCATTCACTAACCAATGGAGGAAAAAATGGTGATTAACAAAACCTCTGATGAACTGTCTCAGTGTTATCATAAAAATAAATGAATTTTAAAATGTACAAATAATGTAAACTAAAAAGAAAAAACATATGATGGTCTCAAAGAGGCAGGAGAAGCAACTGGTAAAACTGACCGTTATCAATGTGGTACCTCCCAGTTGGCCAGGCACTCACATGCAGCCTGTCTTCAAACTGGGTTACAGTGAACTCAAAATGAGGAGTTTATATCCAAACATTTACACCTTGCAGGTAATGAGAGGACAGGAGAGAGGGCAGGGCTAGAAACAGAAACCTGGGAGTCAACCCCAGAAAAGACACAGTTGAAGAAACGAGAAATATGTTTATATTCCCACAAGGGTTAAAAAGAATACAATGGCACAATTACAAAGAGAATTATTTAAGAAATATTCTCTGTGAACATTGCCCATGTGCCTTTGAGAAAAGCTATATGCACCTGTTAATATCAAGCAACAAGATTCTTTTTATATCACTGGCACCAAAAAAAGTAAACACCGTACCTCCCCTTGATTGAAAATTTGTGCAGAGTTTCCGTCTTCTGATCCGGCTTGTTCTTCCTCTACCCTTCTTCATACTACAACTGCAGTTTCTGTTTAGGTGCCCAATCGAAAATAGAAAGCACTTCCTTTACTTTTTCTCCCAATGTATGACTATCACTGTTCTTAGTACCTTTAAAGATTTAAATAGACAAACATATTATTTGGTAAACCACTTCTCTAAAGTGTTTTTAGATATAGAACTTTTATACTGAGAGCTAAATCATGATCCCTTGTGCAGTGATGGAATGCACATTTTACTGGTCCCTCTAAAACAGTTCCTTTTTAAAAAAAATAAATGTATATGTGTATATAAATTTATACAGTAGGCACCTACAGGAGGCAACTGATAGATGTTCCTCTTTCGCATCAATGTTTCTCTCTCCCTCTCTCTCCCTTCCTAAAATTTAAAAAAAAAAAAAAGCCCAGCTGGTGTGGCTCAGTGGTTGAGCGTGGACCAATGCACCCAGGAGACCTCGGTTTGATTCCCGGGCAGGGCACATACCGGATTGCAGACTGATCCCCAGTAGGGAATGTGCAGGAGGCAGCTGATCTATGTTCTTTCTCATCAATGTTTCTCTCAATTCCTCTCCCTCTATCTCTTAAATCAATTTTTTTAATATTTAAAATAAAAATATCCTCAGGTGAGAATTTAAAAAACAGCAGGATTCAGATAATGGAATATTATGTAGCCACCAACAGGGAGAAAAATATATGCTAAGGTGTAAAAATGTCCAAGGGGGGAAAAATGCAAAGTTTCAGAACATTTCAAACTCAATGACCCCTTTTTTTTAATATATATTTTTATTGATTTCAGAGAGGAAGGGAGAGGGATCGAGAGACAGAAACATCAATGACCCTTTTAGGTTTGATTTTGAACACATTATGTCTGTTTATAAAGCCAGGAGATTTAAGGAAAGATAGCCACAGGTGCGCAAGGGGAGGCGGCGCTTACTGTGACTTACACGTGCATGAATGCCGAGCGGACGGTACCCGGGGAGAGCTGGGGTTTTATGTGCGCACTTGACCCAACAGCTGCTTTTAAATCTACCACCGACACCGGGCTGACAGAGGACCAGGCACCGGTACCACCCGCCTGGGCCCTGGAAGGCTCCCTGCTTCACCCACCGAAGGGTGGCGAGCCGGGTCCCTGGGCGAGTGCCCGGCCGCGCGCGGGTGCCCGTGGGCGCGCGGGCTCTGCACGTGGAGCCAGGGCGGCCGCCGGCCCGGGCACGGCACGCGCTCCCCGTCCCACCCGCGGCGCCCACCCCGCGGCCCTGCGCCTCGCGGACCTACATTCGCCAGATGAGCGACTTCCGGGCCTAGCGGAGTGCGGATACGACCTCCGTTCTTTTTACATCAAAACTAAAATATTAGCAAAGCTCCAGAGCTGCTCCCGTTACCCGGGCAACCGGAGGCCCCGGCCCGGAAGTGCTTCCGGCTCACCTGGCGCCGGAGCCGGTCTCCGAGGTGACGGCGGCGGGGCGGCTGGCCCAGGGCACGTGGAGACCCAAACCGCACGGTGACCGCCCTGCGTCCTCACTAAGCGAAGCCCAGTCCCTGGCCGCCGGGCGGAGCCCCTCCCCCGCGGGTGCCGCCGGGGGCCTGCGCAGTGTGTCCGGGCAGCGCCGAGGACGCCCGCACCCGACGGGGTCAGTCCCCCGCCCCGGAGTCGCGGACAGGGAAACTGAGGGGCCCGCGGCGGGGAGCCTGCGCTCTGAAGCCCGACCAGCGGAGGGGAGGGACTCCCTACGCACGCGGCCCAGGCCTGACCCCCAGGGCCGGCACCCAACCCGCCTTTTGCTCCGCCTCCGCCGCGACCCCGGAACTGCGAGCCCAGGCAGCCAGAGCTTCCCGCCGCCCCCGGTTCCGCCGACGTGCCCCGCCCCTTTGCTCGGGAGCCCCGCCCCTGGCTTACCCGACGCGCCCCACCCCTGAAGCCCCGCCCCCGACTCACCCGACGCGCCCCGCCCCTTTGCTCGGTGAGCCCCGCCCCTGCGAGTCCCTCCCTTTGCTTGGCTAGCCCCGCCCCGCTCCTCGTGCCCCGCCCACTTCACCCTCCCTGGCCAAGCTCTCCCAGGATCAGCCTTGCAGAAGTCCATAGCTTTTAAGTCAGTGGTTCTCAACCTTCCTAATGCCGCGACCCTTTAATACAGTTCCTCATGTTGTGGTGACCCCCAACCACAAAATTATTTTCGTTGCTACTTCATCATTGTAATGTTGCTACTGTTATGAATCATCATGTAAAAATCTGATATGCAGGATGTACTTTCCTTGTGACAAATTGAACATAATTAAAGCATAGTGATTAATCACAAAAACAATATGTAATTATATATGTGTTTTCCGATGGTCTTAGGCGACCCCTGTGAAAGGGTCGTTCGACCCCCAAAGGGGTCGCGACCCACAGGTTGAGAACCGCTGCTTTAAGTAAATACTCCTCCCTGTACAGAGGTGGAGCTCAATTTCTGCCCCCACATCGCCACTGGATTGTGGGACAGGCTTAGTGACTAGCTTCCAAGTGTGCAGGGCAGTGTAGAGAGCAGGGAAAAGTAAGTGTGCCGTGGGGAAACCTGGCAAGCGGTCCGGCCAGGTGCTGAGGGTTAACATAGTCAGTGATGAATTATGGTGATAGCATGCCAGGGTGTAGGGAGGGCACTTCGCTCCTGTGGTCTTCCTCCCCCAAACCCTATAACCGCGTTCTTTCTTGAGAAGAACATCAGACAAACCCCAAAACACCTGAACAGTACAGTGGGGCCTTGACTTATGAGTTTAATTCGTTCCGTGTCAGAGCTCGTAACTCACATTACTCGTATGTCAAATCACTGTGACGTTCGCTGCGCCAACTAGCGGTGGGGTATCTGAAGCTGGCTCGTAACCTGAATTTTAGCTCGCAACTCAAACCGAAAATCGGCCGAGAGTATCTCGAAAAACTCGTTAGTCGGGACACTCATAAGTCAAGGCCCCACTGTAGTAAAATTCAAATAAAGCATGGAGCTCAGTTATTACTACTGTTCCAATGGTAGTTTCTGATTTGTGACAAATGAGCCATCATAGTAAGATGGCTAATAGTTGGGGAAATTTGATGAGGGATATATCAGCATTCTCTGTACTACATTTCCAACTTTTCAATAAATCTATTCTAAAATTTAAAGTTTACTGAAAAGGATAGGAGGGGGGCTGGAAATTGATAGTCCCAGATTTGGACTCAGGAGTCAGTGATGTCATCAAAAATCGACGCTTTTTCTAATTTTCCACACAATACCCTTCTTAGGGAGCTGGCTAGTGACCTTTTAGTTTGCTTCCTTGTGGTCTCAAGATAATTGCTGCAGCTCCAGTCATCACACACTCACACAATACATTCAAGACAAGAAGAAAAGGAGCAAACAAAACATTCTGTTTTTTGTTTTTTATGAGAAAGATAATGTATCCTCCCCTTTTCCTTGACTAAACTCTAGCCAAGCTCTTCTGAGCCTTCATCTCCACGGGTCATCAACCTTCACTTACACGATCTGCAGGCTCAGCATGAGTGATTTCATGGACTTCACCCCTCCCACATTGAAGGCTTAAACAAGCAATAACATTGTTCCTAACAGCTCCAGGCTGCTTCCCCAGAATGGCCTGCTCCCCTTATATCTTAACAATAGCAGTGGATAGACAAACCCGCAGAAGTGATAAAGTTGTATAGCTCCAAATACATTCACAAACACAAGTACAAGTAAAACTGAGGACATTTGAATATGATTGGTGGATGGATTGCGTGAGTGTCAATATTCTGATTGTGACATTGTCCTATAAGTTTTTTTAATTTTTATTTATTTATTGACTTGAGAGAGAGAACGAGACATCATTTGTTGTTCCACTTGCTGATGCATCCGTTGGTTGAGTCTTGTATGTGCACTAAGAAAGGATTGAACCCACAACTTGGCATATGGGGAGGACACTCGAACCGACTGAGCTGCCTGGCCGGGCTGTACTCTAGTTTTCCAAAATGTTATGATTGAGGAGAACAGGCGAAAATGTAAGGAATCTTTGAATTATTTGTTGCTACTGCACATGAACCTACAATTATCACCACGGAAGTTTCCGTCAAAAAAAGTAAAGGTCTTTCCCTGATCGTGAGTTTTGGTTTTTTGCCAAACCTACTTTGAAACTGCAATATGATTGGATTCTACCTAAAGCTTGCTTTCCCGCAGAACTTGCTGCTGTGTTGGTAATAGCATATGTCCCATACGGCGGCCACCGGCACATGTGCCGCACTATTGAGCTCTGGAAATGTGGCTGGGCAACTGAAGAACTGAATGTAAACTGAATCGTTGTGATTAAAATAACATTCCAATGGCCACCTGTGGCTTAGTGGCTTCCATAAGGGACAGCACAGACATCGAAACTTGGCTTTATACTCCCCTATTCCTCTGCTGTAAGCACTAAAGAGGAAGAAAATTCATTTCCCACCACATCTAATTTATGGACTTTCTGAGGACGCATCCTGACGAGTTATTGTATGAGAAAGGGCTACCAAGCTACCTGGTACCTCTACACTGGAGCCTCTGCATACGGGTAACTAAATGGCCTTGGAAGTGACTAAGGCACCGATTTTTTAAAATATATTTTTATTGATTTCAAAGAGGGAGGGAGAGGAAGGAGGACAGAGAGAGAGAAAAACATCAATGATGTGAGAGAATCATTGATTGGCTGCCTCCTGCAAGTCCCCACTTGGGAACAATCCCGCAACCCGGGCATGTGTCCTGACCGGGAATCAAATCGTGACTTCTCCTGATTAATATAGGTTGATGCTCAACCACTGAGCAACACAGGCCAGGCCAAAATTCACATTTTATGTCATTCTATGGAATGGTACCACATGGCTACTATTTATTAACTATACTCTCCTTCTCTCCTGAAAGGGAATGATCCCACACCGTTTCACATTAAAGCAGAAGTGACAATGAAAACAAACTTTTTTGGTACCCGAGACGTCAGCACGGAGCTACTGCCTCTCGTGAAACCCCAAGGTGAGTCTAGGAACCCTGGCTGCCTTGTTTGCGGCAGCACCCAGTCCTGCCCTCCCCTGGTGTCATCTCCAGTCCCCTCCCTGCTCCTGCTCCTGCTCCTGCTCAGCTGCCCTGCCCCCTGGTGTCTCACCCGGCCAGGTGCCCTCAGCCTCAGGACTGGGCCATCTTTGCTGTCTGTCCCCCTGGTCTCTCCACAGCCGGCTCTTGCTTATCCTTCAGCTCTTTGTTCAGAAGTCTCCTCAGAGAGGCCAGTCATTGCTCGCGCCCCTCACAACCATTGGAGTCCCCTGAGGATCCCTGGCCAGATCCTCCCTCCTCCCCCTCCCTCTCCTTCCTCCCTCTCCCTTCCTGAGTGACCTTTCCTACCTCCAATTCATTAGGCCCCTGAACTCTTCTGCATTGGATCACAGGGGCCTTTCTTTGTACTCTACTGATACAGTGCGTTGCACCTATTGGTTCCGAGAGGCTAAGCCAACCGTGCACATCTGAGATAAACATCACTTGGTTTTCACAAGTTCAGGAGTTCCCCCAGACCACCCTCAGGTTCAAGAATCCCTGCGAGGACTCAGAACTCAGGGACGCCATTATACTCAGAAGGGCAGTGCTCAGCAGCAGAGGAAAGGGAGAGTGCTGCAGATCGACCCTGGGGGAGCTCTCAGGGGCAGGCGCCAGGGAAGCCCGGCAGGGAGCTTCCAGCTGTCCTGTCGCGTGGAGTCCTGTGGACAGCAGCTGTGTGTGTGACAGTAACACGGAGCACTGCCGTCCAGGGAAGCTCACCCACCTTGTTTCAGGGGTGTCTGCTGAGGGCTGTTCTCACAGACATGGCCCGCTGTTCTCTTGGCTGACCTTCCTCTCCAGCACCTCCCCCAGGGATCCATTTGATACCAGGTAGCCTCACCATAACCATATTGTTAACATCCACTGTGTAGCCTGACCCTAAACCCTCAAGGTAACAGGACAATCTTAAGATGATGAACAGTCCAACAGTTTAAAGTTTACCCCAGCAGCCCTGGGCAAAGGCCAAACCTTGCTCTGGCCAAGCTTAATCCTTTATTTTCACAGGCTCACCCCCGCCCCACCCCCCACCCCCCGTCCCCTCTTCCCTGCTCCGTTCCAGCCAAAGGATCACTGAAGGTATAAACTCTATATAGAATTTATATGACAGATACAGACACAGGACCAGAAGTATGCCTGCCATTTGGAGGAGCCAGTGTGGCCTAAGGAGAGATGGGAAGGAGCAGATAGTCCATCCTGTGAAGTCATGACATACACATTCAAGATTTTGTCCCTTTAGGTGGCATACAACTGTTGTTGCAGAACTGCTTAGTGTTAAGAGATAAACTGAGCCTGGCCTGCTGGCTAATTGGTTGAGCATCCACCTTTGAACCAGGAGGTCACAGTATGATTCCAAGTTAGGGCCTATGCCTAGGTTACAGGCCCCACCCCCAGTGCGGGGCAGGCAGGACACAGCTGAACAGTGATTCTCTCTCATCATTGTTGTTCCTAAATCCCTTCCTCTCTGAAATCAATAAAAATATATTTTTAAAAAAACATTTCTCTGATATCCTCTGAGACTTGCTGGGTATGACAGGCTTCTAGGCTGTCTCCGTCCTTCATCATACAGGCAGTCTTCTTCAGTGCTCATGGCACACTGGAAATTTCTCAGATGGAAATTCCTGGTCCAGAATCCCGGCAGATCTGGCACCCGTATGCGCGCCTGCCTTTCTACATAACAGCCTCCTTTGCATTTCAGGCAGAGTGGTGAATGTGTCCAGCATGGAGAGTCTCAGGGCTCTGAAAAACTGCAGCCCGGAGCTGCAGCAGAAGTTCAGAAGCGACACCATCAGTGAGGAGGAGCTGGTGGGGCTCATGAACAAGTTCGTGGAAGATACTCGAAACGGGGTGCACCAGAGGGAGGGCTGGCCCAACAGCACGTACGGCGTCACGAAAATCGGCGTCACCGTCCTGTCCAGGATCCACGCCAGGAACCTGAGTGCGCACAGGAGAGGGGACAAGATCCTCCTGAATGCCTGCTGCCCAGGGTGGGTGAGAACCGACCTGACTGGACCCCAAGCCCCCAAAAGCCCAGAAGAGGGTGCGGAGACCCCTGTGTTCCTGGCCCTTTTGCCCTCAGATGCTGAGGGGCCTCACGGACAGTTTCTTTTGGAGAAAAAAGTTGAACAATGGTGAGCTCCCCTCACAGCCCCCTCCGTGGGCCCCATTGTGTTATCTGTCCTGAAATGACCAAAAGAACATGCACATTGTCACATCATTTCTATCCAAATATATGTATTGTTCACGTGAGAAACATTCAAATCTATGAGGAATTTTCGTGAGATCATGCTCCGGAGAATGGCGGTTTTGCACTTGTTTGACACATTACAATCAAAAGAGGAGACATAAGTGCTGTAGGGTTCTTGGGCCCATGACTAGGTGACTTGGGCTGTGAAAGAATTCACAACTGTGAGAAGAGATAGATACAGGGAGAGAGAGTTTATTTCACTTCCCAGAGGGAAAGCACCAGTGCATTGCTAACCAAGGGCAAAGAACAACAAAATTGCTCTTCCTTTTCAAGCCTGGGACAGGGAAGGGAGGGGCATCGGGGGGCTGCTGCTGTTGCTAGGTGCAATGGAGCCCACAGCAGGGGATGTCTGTTATTTCCTCAGGAGACAGTCCAGGCAGAAGTCCTAGGCAGGTGTCTTATCCTGAGTGGGAAACCAGCGGGAGGAAATAGGAAGCCTTCAGAGTCACTGGTCTTGTCTATAAGTTTGAACAGAGGGGCTGTTTGAAGCAGAGGAGCTAACAGTCTTGGGATTTAATTATCAGGTGCTTCTCATAAGTTGTGGAAGGCCACAGCTAAGAAAAAGAAAGGCCTTTTTCCATCCTAACAAGTGAGTTCCATGAAACCCATTAGTGATAGGTTAGGGAGGCAGGAGAAAGCAAAGTGGGGGGTGAGGGGAGGGGGAGGAGGCCACTGGGATTGGATAAAAAGAAAAGTGATAGACACATACTGCCTTTACTGAGGTGGCTGCAGGATAGTTAACTGTCAGTAAGTAACTCAGTTATAATGAGGGGATTTGTGGCCTCCACAAACCGTGCCTGATCTTTGAGGGGTCCTAAAAGAAAAAGGAAAATGACTTTGACATTCCAGTGATATGTTATTGTAGATGCAAAAAGACAATAGAGAGGCTCCGTTATGCTGAAGATTGACCTTTGTCAGGGAAGGTGTCGGCCTAGGACATGATTACCCACCGTAAGCTGCTTTTTAGTTTAAAAAGTTTTAATTTCAGCCCAGCCAGTGTGGTTCAGCATTTGACCTTCAGCCTATGAACCAGAAGGTCACTGTTTCAATTCCTGGTCAGGGCACATGTCCAGGTTGCAGGCTCCATCCCCAGGAGTGGGAGTGCAGGAGGCAGCCAATCAATGATTCTCTCTTAACATTGATGTTTCTAACTCTCTATCCCGCTCCCTTCCTTCCTGTAAAAAATCAATAAAATAAATATTTTTTAATAAATAATAATTAAAAGTTTTAATTTCAGACACCATTGTGGTTACTTTAGGTTTCTCAGTTTACAAGGCTGCCACGCAGACCTACCCTGAGCTAGTCAGAATAGCATGTGTCCCCTTTTCCTCATATATTAGCCCCTTTATGAAGTATTCAGTTTGAATTGGCTACTAAGTTTGAGTCTGTGATTCCTCCTGTGACACGGGGTGAAAGAGGAGTGTGGGTGAGAGTAATGACTGATCATCAGCTGATGAATAATGGGTCTTGCTACAGATCCATCCTGCAGATCACTTGCATGCTGTACCCGCTCAGAAATCAGATAGACATTTAGTTAGGCCAAGGAAGGAACAATGTGACTGAGGGGCTCACATACATTCTAGAAGAAGCCAGAGAGTAAATGTGTTCAGCTTTGCAGCCGCAGTCTCTTGGGAGTACTCTGATCTGCTGTGGTAGCATGAAGGCAGCCACAGGTTCTAACCAGTGAGTGGGGTGAGGTTTTACATCTCTCTCTGTTAACTGTGACCAAGGACAAAACAAAGTGTAGGCACTTTAAGCACACAGGATTATGTAACCATGAAATACACATGCCATCACCAGCTTGGTCCGCGAAAGACCTTCATAAATGCTGCCTCCACTTGGGGGTCCCACACTGAATGCAATCACAGGACCTATTTAATTCTGCCTTGGTTTCTGTTAAGAAAGGAAGGTGATCTGTGTCCTCACAAGCAGTTGCCCTGTGCAACTACTTCATTGCATTTTAGAAACAGCAGACATTGCCTTTCTGCAGTGGAGGATGGGCCTGGGTCCAAACCAATGAGTCCTGCACCTACTTCCACCTTCTGGGGTTCTCCTGAAGTAGTTCCTTTAGTTCAACCAAAGCCCTTGATTCCCATCACCAACCCCTGTGCTTGGGGGAAGCACAGCCCTCCACCCTGTCCACTGCTGGGCTCAGAGCTGGGATCAAAAGAGGGTGGTGCTTGTCCTGCTTGGGCCCAACTTACATCACAGGAGGGGCCAGACCCGGAATGGGGGCCGTAGTAAACCTGGAACATTCAGCACCCCCGTGGAGGGAGGGAGGGACGGAAGGTAGAAGTCACAGCGGTGGTGCTTCTCAGATTGTCTGGGACACCACAGAGCGCGACCACACCCCCGAGCCCCTGTGACCCACAGCGCTGTCTGCTCTCTGTTCAAGTGCCCCCAGGGCCCCTGCCAGCCATGGGATCCGAACCCCGGTGGCCCTGGAGACTGTGGCCAGTAAGGGCACCGCTTCGCCATCACACCGGACCTGTGCAGGCGGTTCTTGGGGAAGCGGCGCTCACTGCACGGGACTCGGTGCGGGGTTGGGCAGCTGGGTAGCAACTGCACAGGCCGAGGGCCAGGGCTCTGCTTCCACCTTCTGGCCATCCTTGACCTGTAGAGCGAGACATGGATTCCTGTGCAAGGAGTGTGGGGGCCACTGGGAGATGAAGACCGGCCAGGGATGAGCCCGGAGCTGCGCTTTCACACACTTCGGGGACAAATCAACACTCACGGGAGTCCTTGTCGCGTTCTCTCAGCTTATTGCACAATTCCAGTCCCAAGACTTGTTTTGGGGGCTGTATTTTTTAAAACACCCGGGAAAAGACCGGGAGAACCAAGGCTAAGGGCTCAGTTTAAAGGCAGTCAGATGACCAATCAAAACGATCCTCTGCTGACGGACAGCCGTCGGCAGCAGCCTAAGGCCTTCGCCGTGGGCCCGCCCATCGGTAAACCTGCCAGGGGGCCCGGTTCGCATTCCCAGCCCCGGGGCCGGGCGGGGCCGGGAGGGGCCATGCCCCTGGGGGCGGGGCTTGCGCCTGCGGCTGGGCCACAGGACTAGAGACTCCAGCCGGGGCGCACGGTGCCCTGCAGTCGCGCTCGCAGACGCTCGGAGCCTCGCGGGAGCCCTGGTCGCAGTCTTTGGGCGTCCACGGCCCGCTCCGCTCTCCACGCAAGTGCTTCACGAGCCTCCTGCCCGGCCATGTCGTCCTGCAGCCGCGTGGCGCTCGTGACCGGAGCCAACAAGGGCATCGGCTTCGCCATCACGCGGGACCTGTGCCGCCGGTTCTCGGGGGACGTGGTGCTCACGGCGCGGGACTCGGCGCGGGGCCGGGCGGCCGTGCAGCAGCTGCAGGCCGAGGGCCTGAGGCCGCGCTTCCACCAGCTGGACATCGACGACCTGCAGAGCATCCGCGCCCTGCGCGACTTCCTGCGCAAGGAGTACGGGGGCCTGGACGTGCTGGTCAACAACGCGGGCATCGCCTTCAAGGGTAAAAGGATGTGTGGTTCCAGGAGGGGTCACCCCAGCACCTGCAGCCAGGGTGGCTGGTATGTCGGGGTATCGGTACAATGGGGCTCCTCTCGAGTATTGGGTGCAGAATGGCTCCCGAGGGGACTAGGAGAGGCAGGAGACAGGGGTGCCACTAGATCAAAGTGCAAGAGAAGCTGGAGCGCCTTCTGGCCGAGGCACCTTGTGTGCTTGGCCCAGATGCCTGGGAGTCTTTTCTAGGTTGTCACAGTTTCTCCTGGTTTAACCTTGAGGGCAAGGGGGGGTGAATTTTGCACAGAAGTTCACAGAGACCACATAGTGCACCCTTCACCAGCCTCCGGGAATGGCACCATCTCAGACACTATGTTCAGAACATCAGGAAACAAGGAAATGGTGGTTGCACAGTGCTATTACTCAGAACCAATTATACAAAAAATTCACATTTTATATCATTCTATGGAAAGTTACCACATGGCTACTATTTATTAAGTCTACTCTCCTCTCCTGAAAGGGAATGATCCCACACCATTTCACATTAAAGCAGAAGTGACGATGAAAACAAACTTTTTTGGTACCCGAGACGTCAGCACGGAGCTGCTGCCTCTCATGAAACCCCAAGGTGAGTGTAGGAGCCCTGGCTGCCTTGTTTGCGGCAGCACCCAGTCCTGCCCTCCCCTGGTGTCATCTCCAGTCCCCTCCCTGCTCCTGCTCCTGCTCCTGCTCAGCTGCCCTGCCCCCTGGTGTCTCACCCGGCCAGGTGCCCTCAGCCTCAGGCCTGGGCCATCTTTGCTGTCTGCCCCCTGGTCTCTGCACAGCTGGCTCTTGCTTATCCTTCAGCTCTTTGTTCAGAGGTCTCCTCAGAGAGGCCAGTCATTGCTCGCGCCCCTCACAACCATTGGAGTCTCCTGAGGATCCCAGGCCAGATCCTCCCTCCTCCCCCTCCCTCTCCTTCCTCCCCCTCCCTTCCTGAGTGACCGTTCCTACCTCCAATTCATTAGGCCCCTGAACTCTTCTGCATCGGATCACAGGGGCCTTTCTTTGTACTCTACTGATACAGTGCGTTGCACCTATTGGTTCCAAGAGGCTAAGCCAACTGTGCATATCTGAGATAAATATCACTTGGTTTTCACAAGTTCAGCAGTTCCCCCAGACCACCCTCAGGTTCAAGAATCCCTGCGAGGACTCAGAACTCCTGGACGCCATTATACTCAGAATGGCAGTGCTCAGCAGCAGAGGAAAAGGAGAGTGCTGCAGATCGACCCTGGCGGAGCTCTCAGGGGCAGGCGCCAGGGAAGCCGGGCAGGGAGCTTCCAGCTGTCCTGTCGCGTGGAGTCCTGCGGACAGCAGCTGTGTGTGTGACAGTAACAGGGAGCACTGCCATCCAGGGAAGCTCACCCACCTTGTTTCAGGGGT